CCCCAAAACCCCAAAACCCCAAAACCCCAAAACCCCTTATTAATTACTTAATGTTGAATAATTTATAGACTTATATAGTTGCTAAATAGCTTCCTAACTTGTTTTGACTCCTTTTAGCTTCTACTTTATAGCCCAATTAGTTCTCTCTTGAAAGGAGCCTCTGATTCTTCTCTTTGTTATTGTTTTGCTAAAGTAAATGTCTGCAAGATGAGGTACAACCTTTGTATTGGAGCCATGATTAGCTTTATGAGTACCCTTTGGTTGAGGCGTAGGTTTCAAGTATTTCTCAAACTCTAAAAAGAAGAGTTAGGATTGTATGATACATAGATAAGATCATCTTCTCTTCCATTATTGAATTAATCAACCTTAGTTGTTGTCAATATTTTAGGTAAAGTATTTGCACTTAGTGCCAATCAAGATGAAAAATTCTTATTTTTTGTAAATTTAGCTGCTCCCATTTTGATAAATCAAATTAAAGAGTAGCTAAATTAAAATGAGAGAGCAAGGGGAAGGGCTATGATAAATATATTTTGCTAATACTTTGAAGCTAACAATGACAATTTCCAATACTTTAAATCGCCTTAGTTAGGAAAGAAAGCATTGAGCATAGTTTCCATCTTTGTTAAAATTATCTGAAATTTTGAACTTTTGTGCTCTTATTTATGCTTCAAATAGCAAGCTATTGCTCAAAAGAGACTTTAGCTAAGTTTTACTGGGATATACTGCTCAAAGATAAGTATAAACTCTTATGTTGTTATTACAAGAAATCGATAAATATTTTTAATGAATAAAGATATCCTGTATCCTCAACGCACCAAAATTTGCTGATAAATTCTTAAAAGTTCCTAACTCTTTAATCACCAATTTGTGAGGATGAATTTTATAATAAAGTTACCTGATTCTGTTGTAGCTCTGGTCTCAGGCTGTGTCAGATCCTCAGTTTCAGAGGAGCCTTCTCCTTCAGTTTTCTTCCTAACCTCTGCTTCTTTGCATTGAAGGGGAATTTCTCTTTGTGATTTACAACTATTAAATTTTATTTTTACATGTTTCCAAGAGGATATTGATGCTTTAACTTACTTCAGAGAACTTTGCTTTATGGTAATGAAGCGAGGCTTATTATGCACTTTATCGTCCATCCGGACGTCCACTATCTGTCTCTCGTTATCCTTAGGCAAGCACAGCTCTAGAAGTAAAGATAAGGAATCTGAATTATTAAGAAATATACCTTGGGACTGCCTGGCTTTTGAAGATTTTCTAAAGTGCATATTTTCCTTAAGAAGCTTTGAGTGCTTTTGTGCATAGTTCTCTAGCAAATGCAAATGGGTGGATTCTGTTCTACCTTTTCCTCCAAGAGATTTCTTTGGTGAAGACTGAGTGCTCTTGGGCTCAGGATTCTTCATACTGAAAGGACATTTGTTAAAGCTTTGGTCGATACTGAATTTGGTCTTCCTAGCTGACATACAACGCTTGAAATCTGGACTCTTCTGAGGGCTCATTTTGAACTTTTTCTTGATCTCTGTCATATACTCGATTGAAACAGAATGGGGTTGGGCTAAAGAGGAAATAATTGACCAAGCTTACTTATTGATCGGTCTCTTGTCTTGACTAGATCCACTAAAAGTGGCTGCTGGTTGGAGTGGATCTTCATCTTAGAGTACACTCTATTTATTGCTTTCATTACTTTCTTATCAATCTTCTTATTTGACTTCCTAAAGAGTTAGGCTGCTCATTACTTCAGCAGCTTGGAAGCTTTAGGGATTTCAATAGATTTCCGAATATTTCAGACAGTTTTCTGGATATTCTTCACAGAACTATTTTTTGAAATCTTCTTTTCAGGTTTCTGGGTTAAATATTTCTTCTGAGTCTTCGTCTTGAGAGGTATTGGAGCTGATTCATCCTGCTTTATACCCACAGAACTTCTTCCTATAATTTTTAAGGCTCGGTTTTCTTCTGATTCATAATTTTATGTGATTAAATTTAACTTTGAGAATTGAGAAAGAATTTAGTTACCTTTATGCTTTTCCTTCACATTAATCCAATTATCCTGACTCTTCATTGTCATTATATGCTTTTTAGAAATACTATAAGAGTCTCTCTCTGTACTTTTGTCTTGGGCTAAGTTCAAGCTTATTCTGTGAGTTCTAAAGCGATTTCTTTTCCTAATCTTTTGTCCAGCTAATAACAATGAGAAATTGCTTGAAGAAAAGATATCAAGTGATAAATTCATACTTGAGAACTGTTTCTGTGCTTCATGTATCACATCATGATTAATTTTGCTGTTATCTTCATCTTTCTGAACAAATGATACTTTTCTCTAAACAAGACATCATTAACCCAAAATAATCAATAAATCATCCATACTTGTTGATACTGCGCCTTTAAACCTCTCTTCTGATATTTGTACTTCCTCACGAACCCTTTCAGCCCTTCTCTCTTCATCCCAAAATCGTCCATAATGTACAATATTTATGTATCCAATTAATTCTTCTCCTAAAGGGGTTTTGGGGTTTTGGGGTTTTGGGGTTTTGGGG